GAGATATATTTACTTTAGTCACTTTTTTCAAATATTTGTCAATTACTCCGTACTTTATTTTTTGTATTTTTCGGCATTCTTGCTTGAATATATTATTGTAAATTTTGAATTCAAATCTTTACAATTTGTAAAAAAGAAATCACTCAACGTATCACTTTAAGTTACTCATTATTACACATATAACATTCCTTAATCTTTTATACGAATTTAGCTATTTATAGTGTCAATATCTTCCAAGCATACTCTCTATCTTTTATTATATTCTACTATATTCGATCACGTAACCACTCCTCCTCATTGGTGCGTCTCATACGTGCAGGAACATCATCCTACGCCATTTACCATAGCTTTGCGAGATCCTCCTCCTACGCAATTTACCAATATATAATGCCTAACAAGTTTGTACGTATTAAATTAAGTTCCACATGTAATGCCCATGTTTGGCCAGTGTGTTTTGGTGTAATAGATTATTCATGAAATCAGACATACATTTTTGGGCAGTGTGGAATTTATACATGAAAATAGTCATACACATTTTTAGCAGTGTGGAATTCATACATGAAAACAGTGTGGAATTCATACATAAAAAGAACTATACATTTTTTGGGCAGTGTAAAATTCACACATGAAAACAGTCATTCACTTTTTGACAGTGTAGAATTTATATATGAAAACACTACCACATAAATCAATGGACATTAAACTTCAACATTAAATTAAGAAACACAATAATACACTTACACATTGTGGTAAGATATTACAACATACATCCATTCTACACTGTCATATTAAATACTCACATATGTATAAAAATCACACTGCCTACTACATAGTTACAAGTGAACGACCACAGTGCCCAAAAATATTCATATTTTTTGGCAATGTGTAATGAATGCTTGTTGTTTAATTAAAGAACAAAATCAGAATCACAAGTACGAAACATATAACACTGCTATTTGGAGTATTTTAAGGCTGCAAGAGTGCTATTTTAGTTTTTCTCCCTTTGTAAAACTTAAAGAGTCAAACGACTATAAAAGAGGATAAATTCCTTTCTAATTTTGTATTTTTTTAATTTTTCTACTATTGTATTTATAAATTTACATGTACAATTGGACATAAAGTATATTTGATTATTTGATAATTGACACTCTATTTTTTTTTAAGAACTTGGATTTTTATAAAGTTTTTAAATTTAAAAAAATTAATTAGGAACAAACAAATGCAACAAACCCAAATCCTCTCCCAGGAATCTCTTTATTTTTCACCTTTTTTCAGGCTAAGGTCCGATCCAATCTCTTTAGGACAAAAAAGGAGTGTCCAAAGTTAAATCGAGTTCTTCAATTTCAACAATAAAAAAAGTTCTTCCATTCAAAATTGGTTGCTTTTCTTTTTTTACTCCGTATTTTCTATTTTTAATTGTGGAATATGAAGAATGAAGCTTTAAAATTTGTTTAGCATAAAGAGAAATAAAGTTATTTGCGTTGGAGTATTTATTTTCTATGATAGAAAATAGAGAAATATTAATCATTTTTTAGATATTTATTACGGAATAATAAAACTTATAAACACATTCTGTGATAGAAAAAGTACGATCTCTCACAAGCAATCTAAAATCCGAATTGACCATTGAACTGATGTTGAAACTGGTTCCCAAGATTCTCAACTTTTAATCAACCCAATCCAACCTTTTCCTTTTTAGATTGTTGAGACATTGGACTAGATCGTATGATATCCCGTTCTCAATTCGACCAATACAACCATTCGATCCAGTCTAATTTTAATAAAACTATCTTTCACGGCATCGGTCTCAAGTAGGATTGTAAAACAAATTAAACAAATAATTTTGTTTTGATTTGTGATTCTTATTCGAAATCAATAATTTATAATCAAAAAATGAATACAAATAAGAATATAAATATTTATGAGAATTTAAAAAAACAAATACGAATACAAATGTATACGCATTCACTTCGATATGTTAACGAATATATTTGAATATAAATATAAAAATTTATACCCAATATGTAGTTGATACGTGACAGTACATGTTTAATTTTTTGGGCATCATGTAGAAAAAGTACTTGAATAATTTTAAACGAATATGTAAATATGAATTGAAATATGGAGTAATTGATAAGAAGATCCAATACCATAGGTCTATACTCCATAAAACCTAATCACTAATTCACTATTAGAGGAGTACACCTCATTATTTCTTTTTATTTTTCACCAAAAACACTTTGATCAGCAGCTGAACATCCGTCTCGTACTCTCCGACACTACAGTCCTCAAAATTTGAAGGTATCACTCTATTCTTAAAAGCAGGGGAATTTTTTTCCCGCCCAATGCACTATAATCATGCACCGTTGATATCAATGTACGAAAAAGATCTGCAGTTATGATTGGTTGTGTATTATTACCAATTTAGAAGGATATATTCAAGGAAGGAATTGAATGTTTTTACCACCGTGTGTTTTTTTCTAGAAACATAAAGGGTGTTATTGATAATTTTTTATTTTTTTAGAACCGTGTAAAAAAAGGTAATTTATTCCTATGAAAATTAGCATTTTAAAAAAGGAAAGTTTTAAAGGAGGATATAACGTATATATTTACAACTGTGTTTTTTTTGTAAACAGATTAACAAGGAAAAAAATTGAGAAATAAAAATTTACTTTATATTTTGATATCATTATTATTTTTTAAATATGTGATAAAAAAGGAAATTTATTCATACAAGAAAAGAGGTTATTTTTAAAATGGCAAACATAAAGAGATGGAACGTGATTATTTTAAAAAATATTTTATTCCTATGCAAATTACCATTTTAAAAGAACGAAAGATTTAAAGAAGGATATAATGTAAAGATTAAAAACCGCGATTATTTTAGTACGTTAAAAAAGGTAAATTATTCCTACACAAATTAGTATTTTAAAGAATGATATAACGTAAAGATTTAAAACCATTTGTTTTTTTGTAAACAGATTAAAAGGGCAAAAAATTGTGAAAAAAATATAGAATTTTTATATTATTATTATGTTAATATGTGATAAAAAGGAAATTTATTCATATGAAAAAGGAGGTTATTTTTTTAGTACGTGATAACAAGAAAAACAATATTTATTCATACGCAAATTACTGTTTTAAAAAGAAAAATTTACTTAAATAG